GTTCAGTTCGGACGATGAGACAGGTCACGTGAAGCCAAACTGTCCGGAGTACAAGAAGTGGCGCCAGTCCCGCCAGCAGTCTGACACGTCCTGGCGTGCAAAGGAGTCTGAAGTGCAGGCCGCAGCACCTGAGCGCACGCCTGATCCATGCCTCTGTGTGCCTGATGCGAATGCATGCTCTTTGCCGCGTCTCCATGTGGATATTGCTGTGGGAGAACAGTCTGCTCGCCCTAAGGCAGTCGTGGACACCGGCGCCAGCCGCAACCTGGTGAGCCGGCAGCTGGTGGAGGCCCTGAATGTGGATGTCCGTCCGTCCGAACTGGCAATTTCGGCTATTGACGGCAACAGTGTGCCTATCCAGGGTGAAGTTTCGCTGCAGGTGTCCAGACTCGATGATGCTGTTTATCTGCCATGCACTACGAGTCGGTTTCTCGTCGTCCCTGATTTGCATGCCGTTGGCTCAGATCTGGTCATTGGCCTGGAACTGATTTCCGCACTGGGCGGTGTTGACGTCCAGTATGATCATGGCGTGCTCACTGGTGTGACGTTTGGCACGAAACCGCAGACCATTGACCCAGTTGCAGCTCCACCCGAGAGGTCGACCCATGACCATCCATATGGGCATGTGACAGTTACCAGAGATGACGAGGGTAATGTCACCCTAGCAACGGATGATGGCCAAGTGTGCTGGGACGCTGCTCGTAAGAGATGGGAGCTGACCTGGAAATGGCAAAGTGGGAGCGAGCCTCAGTCGCCCGTTGGCTGTGGCATAGGCGAGTACTCTCGCTCGAAACTGACTGATGAGCAGGAGACCCTGTTCCAGCAGGAGGTCCGGACTTGGATTGACAACGGCTGGCTGCAGCCGTATGATGTGGACCAACATGGCCAGCCCAAGTGTGTGCTGCCTTTCCTTGCTCAAGTCCAGGAGCACAAGTCGTCCACTCCAGTTCGCCCTTGCTTGGACTATCGCAGGCTGAATGCCTGCATCATCTCACATCCTGGCTCAGAAGCACCTGCCTGTGGTGAGAAATTACGGAAGTGGCGGCAGGCTGGACCTGCATCTGAGTACGTTCTCCTGGACATTCGCAAGGCCTACTTACAGGTCCATGTCGCACCATCATTGCTGCCATACCAGGTTGTCCTCGTCGACGGCCAGCGTTACGTGATGGAACGGATGGCGTTCGGTCTATCCATTGCCCCCAAGTTCCTAGACATCATAGTGAAGTGGGTCTTGCGTGACGTGGTCGATGCCGACAACTACGTGGATGATATCCACGTGCCGCGTGACCGTGCTGCTGAAGTGTCCTCTCAGCTTGCTGCGTTTGGTTTTGAGACCAAGCCTGCAGAGCCATTGCCTGATGCCCGTGTTCTGGGCTTGCAGCTCCATTCTAGCGCCACGGGTGAAGTCTTGTGGACCCGTCGTCAGGGTGTTGATCTGTCTGTTCCACCCACGACTACGAAGCGGGAACTCTTCAGTTGGTGCGGTCGGGCGCTCAGCCATTATCCCGTCTGCTGTTGGCTTCGTCCGGCCTGCAGCTTCTTGAAGCGCCTCGTGTCTGGCCAGTCCGCATGGGATAAGCCTGTCTCTCCTGAAGTACAGCGGTTCCTCCAGGAACTGTCCGATCGCTGTGTGCGAGAGGATCCTGCTCATGGTACGTGGCATTCTTCCTCTACTGGTTCTGGTTTTGTTGTTCATTGCGATGCCTCTGATGTTGCTATTGGTGTTGTTTTGGAGTGTGATGGTTCTGTTCTGGAAGATCGTTCTTGGCTCCGGCCAAAGGACGACCGGCGTCATATCAATCTTGCTGAGTTGAATGCTGCCTTGAAAGGCCTCGAGCTGGCTATTGATTGGAATGTCTCTTCTGTTGTGCTCAAGACAGACTCTAAGACTGTCTTTGGTTGGCTCCAGGCTGTGTTGCGCAATACTGAACGGGTGCGAGTTAGTGGTTTGCAACATGTCTTGGTTCAACGTCGTCTGCAGATCTTTACAGATTTGATTGAGGCATCCGGTATTTCGGTCACAGTGGAATGGGTGCCAAGTTCTGAGAATCATGCTGATGTACTGACTCGTGTTCCGCAGCCGTGGGTTGCTCATGCTAAGAAGTTGTGTTCTTCTGCTGATGTCGCTGCTTCTGCCCCCTCTTCTACACTTTCACATCCATTGGAGTTTGACGTGTTGAAGTCTGGTCAAGCTACTGATGATGCTATCCAGAGCGTTATTCGCGATTTGTCTCGTGACGTCTCTGTTTCTGATCCGTCGTTCTGCAAGTTTCGTAAGCAGTTGTGTGTTATTGATGGTCTATTGTGTCGCACTTGGCGTGACCCCGTCGACGGTGAGGTACTGGTTCCTGTTGCACCGCAATCCACCGTTCCCGCTTTGATTACTGCTGCTCATGCCAATACAGGTCATGGCAATTGGGAAACTACGTGGCGTTCTCTGTGTCAGTCTTGTTTCTTTCCAGGTATGTCTTCGCTATGCCAGGCCTATGTGCGTAATTGT